AACAAAACATCATAAAGAACTGATATTACATATTTAAGATGTGCAAGAGATGCTAGACACTTTTTCCTGGAAATCAGTAAAGCGGAAGTGGCACTTTAGATAACCGGTGATACACATTTTTACAATTTTCTCAAAAACGGCTCTAACGATTTTGATTAAACTCGGTGTACCATTGTACAATTAAGTGGTCTTTAATATCATTGAGGTGTCATCCCCATTGATGTCACCTTAAATGGCCTAAATGTTGAACATGTCTTCCTCTAAAGTACCTTTAATTTGGTTTATTTTAAATAATTAATTATCTCTCATAATTAAGAGTCATTGAAAAAGGCTAAATATAAAGCAGAAAAAATAAAAATACTTATCCAGGTGGAAAATGAATCTCGGGAAATATAATCAGAAAGTACAAGTACAATATATCGTTAAAAAGCGGAGAATTTTAGAAAAAATAATATCTCATATGGAAAATCCTAGAAAGTAAGGAAGTGTGACGAAAAATTATAAAGAATAATTTTTGAAAACTTATATTATTTAACGCTGGACAATGCAAATCTTTTAATTCCATTTTAGTAAACTATGTAATAGAAAATAAGTTTAATAACTAATTATTCTACAATCCATAGTCAACTGTAGATATAATTAAAAGGGTTTTCGTTATTATAATGGTTTTAATGATTTGTTTACAGCTGACAAGTTTTAAGATGCAGCTTCCTTAAGGAGGCAATTCAAAAATTTTACAATAGCTCAAACATGGCCAGAAAATAATTTCTATTCAAAGTTGAGTGGTAAGTGAAAGTTGTGTGCAACTTTTTTTATTTTTATATTAAGGTTCTTGGTATTGGCCATCTTTTATTTAAACCTCTCTCTGGTGGTCTTATATTTAAGAAAATATTTTCCTTTTGGAGACGTCAAATTTCATTTGTAAAAGAATTAATAAAAAACAGTACACAGGTTCTTGCAAAATACTTCAAACTAAGAGTAATTTGATTAGTCAGCTTAAGTATGTGCTCTTGTAAAGTACTTAAATTGTACTTACAAACAGATTTAACTTGATACAGTGTGAGCACAGTTTAATTAATTTCAATTTAACTACCCAACAGCAGTTCTTGGCTAATACCTAAGGAAGTTGCAACTAACCTGGTTTATTTCCATAATAATTCAAAAATGTTAACAACTCACAAAGTGATTTTTATGGTTCATCCCATTATAATAATGGATAAACTATTAGGTTACTGTATACATGATAAAATCTGTGATTTCATGCAAAATTTATTTCTTCAGTTCAATCAACCAAATATTTAATCAGGTAATCTAAGTTTGATGAAAACAGGAACGTAATGAAGTCATATTAAAAATTAATGAAGGAAGTTAGTCTACTGTTCTACATATGATAGGAAATAGTTAGTTTTTAAGATTTTTTGCCTAAGTTACAATACAATCAGGGTCATCATCTGGGCATTACCAGCACTGAAGGTGTTCAAGTATTTGTAACATTGGCAATAAAAATCGATTTCATATTGATAATTTTAATCAACTACTTAAAAATGAATAGGGATATACTCTAAAATATTATTTATTATTATTAATAAATAATATGATGATAAGTTGTCATCATTACTGTAGCAAATCTTGAGAAAGAACTTGATAAAAATTATTACCAGGCATTATGTTGATGTATTTAATTAGGAATTAAATATATCCTATTTTGACAAATATATTTTATTTTTTTTAACATAGAGTAAACTGTTTCACTTCAATATTTAACACTAGAGCTGCATCTCCTTTCCATAATATTTATGACATTATGGATAGATTCACAAAGGATTTCGTGACTCAGCCTAGGTAAGCAATCCTGCAGATCTTGGAGCAAGAGGAGTCTTCAATTGAATTAGTTTGGAAAATGTGGAGGCAATACGCTCAAACTAACAATTCTTTCTTCTTTTATTTCAATGAAACATGACTATAATGTATCCATTATTAAAGAAATTAAACAAATATAGTCAGTATACTGTAAAAAAAAATAAATCCAACACTTTACTGCTTTTTAGGAGAATAAATTCCATTAGAAATTTCAGTAAGTGATGTTGGTTTTTGCCGATGTTACTTAGCAGAGGATCTACTGGGGTATGTATAAATATGAAAGTTAGAGATACAGATTTATTACACAATGGCTAAATTAATTAATTTAGAAAGGAAAAATACTCAATAATTTAATTGACACTTTGTACAGCGTACCAGCAATATGTCAATCCTTATTGGATTATTGTTACAAGTGGTCAATGTACAGAGTTTATTGATTCTTTTTATTTTTCACAAGTATTCTTATTCGATTTAGAGTAGTTAAATAAAATCTTATTATTACAACTATTAGAAGACAATTATAGTTAAGTTAATATGAGTATTTGATTTTAAGTTGTGATCCAGTTGTTCATTTCCTATACTTCAAAATAGTCAGTTAAATTAGTGTGTCATTGACATGGTTATTATTTAAATATTAATGTATTCCATAACAATAAAATATTTCCTAATTATTTTACTTATTTATATTTAATATTTGTTAATTCAAATAATTAAATTATAATTTGTTCGAGCATAATCTTTCCAACATTAATCATTCCATTAGTTCTGTGCATTAAAATTAAAAAATGAAGAAACTCAAATACAATATATGTTTTTTTTGTTTAATAAGGTAATACTTCATAGGTGATCAATGCCTTATTAATTTAATTATATACATATACATGCTTTTGTTTAAAAACACACACCTGTAGATGCTTTTATTTGTTTACTTTAATTTTTTTTCCTAGAATAAACAAGCCATTCTTTAAAAAGTGTAAATTAACTAACCTTTAAGCCAAAACATAGCTCTTTATGTTCAATAGTTTTAAATTATCAAATTCTTTCATAGTTCATACTTACCCGTTTGGTATTATGAATGAAAGACCTTTAATTATTTTTAATAAACAACATTAAAGGTAGGGTGAACGCACCAGTTATGGACAGATTGGACTTTAAATGTAAATAATAAGCTTCCTTATTGATATAAAGGTTCTTTTTTCATAAATTGAAGATCAATGCCCTCCCTCTATTGACACTATAAACAAGGTTCCAAAAAAATGTGTTAAGATGCCTACCACTGTTGTTTCTATAGTGCTCTTGAGACCAGTGTTTCATACCTTCCTATGTTGAACGATTATGTTATCTCATATTTTTAATTAAATAAAGATATTAGAATTTTTCTGAAGTATTTCTATTACTGGTAGCAACCCGCTGTTCATTACTAGAACAATAGAATTTCAGGGTGTCCATCACCAGTGCAAAAAGGTGTTTTTTTTAAATGGAGATTATATCTGCATAATTGATTTTTTTTTCCTTCAATTTAAACTGTTAAATAGAAAAAGGAGATCCTAGAGATTCTAAATGTCCAACGGAGAAGTTTAGAACTATAATAAATATGGCAGCATAAGCCAAAAATTTCCTTAGTTATGTCCAGTACTGGTACGCTTACCTTACTTCGAAGAAAGAAATTTCAAAAATTTGAACTCTGCCAGACAATTCAATGAGGTTAATACTAATCTCATTTTTAGAGCCTTATTCAATATAAGTTTAATCAAAATAATTAGAGCAGTTTACAAGAAAATCATAAAAGTAGGCACATACCTATAATAAATTTCTTTTTTAAGCTAGGCTGTTCATACACACACACGTACTCACCCCACCCACACAAACACATCCCATTTTGTGAGAATTGGGCAATTGCACCTTAAAATTTACATTTTTGTTCAAACTGTTTTTTGGTCAAGAGTATTGCAAGGTTGTGATTTAACTGAGATCTGATCAGCCAAGTTTTTTATTTAATAGGCTTGGTGTGACCAAGGAGAGTCTCCTGACTCCAGAGTCGAAACTTAGCTGATGAAATAGCATAAATAATTAACTACCAAAACTGCATTTGAATAGAGGACCTGGAGCATAAGAGCACTCTAGCGCAAGTAGGGCACATGAGTGCGTACTGCTCACTCAGCTACTAAACCTTCCAAAACTTTAAAGAAAAATCTTAATAGTTCAAAATGGTTGTTGGAAGTAATAAAAGGTAATAATAAGTGAATTCATAAGAAACTTCCTTCAGAATATCTATTTTTGGTTTATCAAAACAAATAAAATAATTATGACAAAATATTTTTAACAAATTAGTATAATAAATTTTAATGAAACAATAAATTAAAAAAGTTTACAGTATACCATCCCTTAAAATTAATGTGCAAATAAAAATTATAAAAATTAAAAAGGAAAGGCAAAAAAAGGAAAGGAAAAGGAATGGCAAATATCAAGCTGACATTTTGAAATATTATTTTATAATAATCATTAGTGTCATCTTAATGTAATCAATGAAACTATCAAAATTCATAATTAATTTGATTTTCATTTTCATAATTATTTTGGAATTTCTCATGCCGGCACACAATTTGATATACAAAGTGGTTTATTTTCTTCTTATTTTTATGAACTGTTGTAAGGTAGATTAAACCAAAAGTAGAATGCTGGTAAGGAAGAAATAAAATAAATACATTTCATAACTTATGTTTAAAGAGTTAATCTTAAATATATGTCCATTTATATAATATATACATGATTATTATTATTTTTTCTGATGTTCTCATATTTAGGGCAAAAATATTTATAGATTATACATTACCAAGAGAGCTTGCATAAAGTGCCTACTTAAAGAATTTTTGAAGAAACTTGGGAAATATGTAATTGATTTATAAAAAAAATTTTTAAAAAACATTTAAAAAAAAAGAAAAGAATGGAGAGGATTTTAAAGCACGGTGCGTCAAAATGTTGACAGCACATTTAAAGCTAATCGTCATTAGGTGACTGTGTAAATATACAACCCAAATTGTCTAAGTACACAACAAGTGTTCTGATCACAGTTAAAATGATCCATTTCATTTTTATTTTCACAAGCAAATCCTCGTGTATATCCTTTGGCGTTTGTACATCTATTTAAGACATCGTTCGAAGAAAACAGACCCAACATGACCACCTCTCATCGCTTTTTGCACGTTTTGCTCAAACAGACGTCGATTATTTTGAAGAACTTCTGCAGCTTCCTTGTTCAATGGATCCTCTGGATTAGGTTCCTGTAAACATGAAAATATTACATAAATATCTAACAACCAAAATAAATGTAAATAAATATATTTAAAAAAATTATGAAATATTTAAAAAAGTATTACGGCATTAGATGGTCGGATATATTTAATTTTTCAGAACCTTAAATTTAATTATATAATCCAGTGGTTTTTAACCAATGTTTTGTAGAACACTGGTTAACTTCAAGACTTTTCAAGAAATAATTTATTAAGAATTAAATGTTCACATAAAATGAATATTTTGATAAAACTAATTTTCAAATTTAGTAGTGGAAATGTCATATAGATTACTTGCTAGGTTAAAAACATACCTATAATAAGAGTTGAAATTTTCATTTTATTAGCACAGAAACTTTATACATGGCATGTCTTGCAAACACAGAATTAAATTTGTTATTAATCTAGCAACAGCAACAAACGTCTCCATATAAAAATTATTCTTATTATCGTAAAAACATGTAAATATAATCAGCTATTTCCCAGGTATCATTGAAAAAGATGATGGTATTCTAATCAATATCTCATCAATATATGACAGTATGAGAAATTCATATCTATGTAACCTCGGATTTCCAATAATGGTAATCTAATCAAAGGAAAAACATTACCAGAAGTGTTTCGACAATTCATACGAAACTGAAATCACAAAACCTAAAATAGGTATATGCCTCAGATGTTACAGTAATTTTTTTTCTAAAATGGGCTTGCATGAAATGCCTCTTTATTTCATAGATGTTACATATTTTTACCATTTTTTGGAAAGCACTTGTACGCACACACAGTTTTACTTTATTCAATTTTTCTTAAAATTGAAGGATTGAAATTGGAATTTGTCCTTTGAAGTGAAAACCTCTCGGTAGCTTGTAGCCACAAAAAGAACCTTATATCAAAAATATTGTAAAGCAGATAACTAAAGAAATTAACTTTACTTACTAGAAAAAGATATTGTAGTCCGTACACTATCGAATTAACAGTAAGAACCGGTTTCCAATCTTCCCGAAGAATGTTAAGACAAACGTTACCTTCAAGATCAATATTAGGATGATATACTTGCGTCTCACATTTCACTTTCGGTGGCTCATGGGGATAGTTGGGTCCAACCTTAAAACTAAAAGTAAATTTGCCACCTCTATAAAAGCCCTGAAAAAAGAAAATTACCGATAGAAATTATACTAATAAAAAAATACAATCAATGAACTTGTAAATCATTCCAAGTTAAAATTAGGTATTAATTCAAAAAGAGGGTTTTGCATCTTATTTTAAAAATATAAAATTGTACGGATTAATTAATACTTAAAACTAAATTGTACATATATAATTCAACATACATGTTTAATATAGCAAAACATCATGAACCATTTGAACAAATAATATAAAGGCAAATGGTTGGTACAACTAACTTTTTAAATGACAAATAAAAAGATTTTTTGTTAGAAGTATAATATAGAATTATTAATTAATAATAATAGATTTTTACACCAGTATCATTTTTCTTTATTAATTATACTCAAAACTAATAATAATAAAATGTTATTCAGTTCATTCTAAATATGTACTAGGTTGTTAAAAGTATTTAGGTATAAAATAGGTTTTTTTTTTATTTTTACATAAAATATATGTATAAAAATTATTCTTCAAAATATAGGCCGTCAATATTAATTATTTTAGTCTATCATTCTGCCAAAAGTTGAATTTGGAGATATCAATCCATGAATTTATAGGTGAAAAGCTCTTGACATCCTTGTTTTGAATTGCTGGCCTTTCAAAAATTTATTGCCATGAGGGTGACAAGATCTTAATATCTTCCGTTTCTGAAAATTTTTATTTGACTAAGCATGAATGATGTCTTGATGAAATTTTACTCTCTGATTGACTAAAGTGGGGTAGTTCTCTTTAACATTCTCAGTGTGGATGGTCCTTCTGGAAGAACACTCATAATTTCCTATCTCTTTCTATTCTACAGGCTCCTATGTGGTGTGGATATGACAATCAGTGGCAGTTGTCTTTGGTACCTCTTTGGGTTTAAAACTGTACATTTAATTTTAAAATTAGCTCTCTAGCTTTTTTTTTGGGTCGCCCCCTTCCTCGTCGTTAAAGGTATACGGGGTTTTTCTGGGCCAGGGTGTGTGGGCGGGGATTTAAAAGATGCCTTGTCACCGGGAGGCGAACTCGAAACTATTTTTATAACATTTGTCATACATCAGGTTGCCGGACAACGGTGGTGCTGTGCACACGCGTTAGCCTATTCGGCCACCCTACCCACAAGCTGTCTAGAAGTTGTTTTGTGAATGCTTAAAAAAAAAAGAAAATCAATATATGCCCGTACACAAGGTATTTGTATAAAATGAATGTGTTAAAACTTCCCTACTTTTGAGTTGTTCACAGTAAAGCGAATCATCATCATCCATACTATCTGGAACCAGTTAAAAGAGCAAAACACGCTCATAAATCTAACAAATACAAAGCACAATCTTAATACTTTCACTTACCAATATATGAAATATATAGTAAAGAAAAATACCGTAAAACGAGATTACTCTGGGACTAAGGGGTTACAGAGTTTATTTTGAATTTGAATCACCTTTTTAGACTGGAAAATTGTTACATCAAGACTAAAAGAAAATTGTCCCAATATAAAATTGTTTTAGCCAGCCAGGTAATCTCATATTGAAAATGAGCAAGTACATAGTAACTCCCTAGCCTCAAAGTAACTCTGGTTTACGGTATTGCAATCTTGAAAATTTTCGAATCTCAGTTTTTAACAGAAATAGAGTCTCCTGAGTCCAAAAAACCAAGTCACACAAAATGGTCTGTATGTGTGTGTTTTAACAGTATAACTCAAAAACGAAAAGTTTTACAAAAGTGAAATTGCATATTTAAGGGACAGCAAATTTTTCGTCAAAATCGGCTAACTAATGTTTCCTTACCATCTATAATTTTTACTTTCACTTCACTCTATTTTAAAATACTTATTTCTGTTAAGGAGAGGACGGTAAGTGAAGGTGGTGTGATGCACACACTGCACCAGATTTTTTTTTATATTGTTTCCAATATTGCACAGCCAGAACCAAATGGTTGTTATGTTAGAATGCACCACATTGTCACTTTCCAACACCCAAATTTCTGCTGCTTTCATACTTACATGGAAATGTCACAATCGGTTTGTCACTAATTTGAACCTTAATATTTTTAAGGTGATTTAACATAAAAAAAATAATAGACGTATGTCCTTAGAATGGGCCTTAGAAACAGGAAAAAACATAACATCTCATGATTTTCAACATTACTACAATGACTGTTATCCCTTTACCAGCGATACATCAAAAGATTACAAATGGCAATATTACTCATTCATTTTCGGTCAACTTATAAAACAAAATGAAAGTCCAAGACAGATAGTGTAAATAATTATCTGGATCATGAATAAGTTCTCGTTGTTTCCTCGATCACAGCTCCATAACAAGGAGTGTTTAATTTTAGATGCTAATGCATTTTCTAAAACAACTGTTGGTCAGCTTATTCTTCTATGTGTGTTAGTTAATCACATTGTAAACACTTTTTTTTTCGTAATTCTAAAAAATTTGAGTTTTATCCTATTAAAGATTATTTGTGAGTAATTTTATAGCATTATTTTAATCAAAAGAAATCTGCAGCTGAATCACATAAAATTCTAGTTGAGACTTTTGGTGAGCATGCTCTGAAATGAAATGAAGAGATTGGTTTCAATGTTTCAAAAATAATGATTTTAATAATGGAGATAAAGAACATTCTGGCACACTGAAAAAGTTGAAGACGGAGAATTGAAGAAATTACTTGATTAAGACCAATGTCTGATACAAACTGAATTTTTAAAATTATTACTAGTAGATGACACGATTGTTTCAAAACCTTTGAAAGCATTAGGAATTATCCACAAGCGAGGACATTGGGTGTCGTATGAGTTGAAGCGGAGAGACATTGATCAACATTTCTCGTGTGAAACTACAGCTTCACCAGTAGAAAAGAACAAGTTTTTTTGCATTGTATTGTGGCTGGCGATGAAAACTGGACACCGTACAATAATACTAAGTTTCATCTTAGTCCTGCAATCACTGCAAAATTATACACTTTTCTAAGAAATTCTTATCAATCTTAGCCTCGCACATATTTAAAATTTCAAACCAAAAATATTTAGAACATTGCATGTTTGGCATTAGCATAGAGTTAATTTTAATTATAAATAATTTTAGTTGTTGCACTTATAGGATTTTGTAATATGTCTGTTCTTTAATTAAATCTATAAAAAAGAGATTCAAATTTATCATTCAAAAACAATAAAAAATCTGTTCTAAAAAAATGACAATTTTTAATGCCTTCACAATAATTAGTGAAATTATTATCATAAAAATAACAAACTTAAAATCATAAATTTATCAGAAAATAGCTTACCTCATCTGGGCAAATAATCAGTTTAAAATTAAGAAGATCGTCAGGATCTGAGAATTCTGTGTTACATGTTTTAGGCAGATTAAGTTCGTTCAAATCTGAAATTCACAAACAAATGATTCATTATAATCATTGAACAATGATGTTCAGTATAAATTTTCTTCTCCATAATTGTTATTCTATACAAAGCTTGCAGCCTATAAACATTCAGAAGGAGCAATGAAGAAAACTCTTTAAAAAAAGAAAGAAAATAATTAGATGTTCCTGAAAATTAGTTTAATTAAAAGTATATTTATTTATTATTATTATTTTTAATAGATGTTGAGTATATTCTTCTGGAAGAAAACTTCAGACAAATTCAATTTCAATTATTAGCTGTTTTGCAGAAAATGTAAAAAAACGAAACTAGTACCATAAGACTAGTTTTGTTTTTTTTACATTTTCTGCAAAACAGCTAATAATAAATCGATAAATAATAAGGGTTGGCAAATAAGTCCTTTCAGTTTTTCTGTTTATTTTAATGTCACTATGATACACTTCTTATCTGATGAATAAATCCCTAAGGTGGATTGTTTATCTTGTTTGTAATATGTCAACAACTATATCTGTTAACTCTTGTTGAAACTAGCTTAGTATTTTGATTGCTATTGCACTGTGAATATGGAAGAAAATATCATTCATTATAGGCACATTTTGTTGTATTAGTTTAAAAAAGATAAGCGTGCTGCAGAATCTCATAGAAAAATTTGCAGTGTTTATGGGGATGATGCCTTAACCAAACAAACCTGTCAAAATTGTTTTGCCAAATTTCATTCAGGAAATTTACATATGATGGGATTTCAAAAGGGTGTTATTTTTTATGAGCTATTTCCATCAGGACAAATGATTGATTCAACTTTATACTGTTCACAATTAATAAAATTGGATTAATCAATTATAAATAAACGCCCAGAACTGGCAAATCAGAAGGGTGTTGTGTTCCACCAAGACAATGCTAGGCCCCACCCCTCATTGGTCACTCGCAATAAATTATTGAGCCTTAGATGGGACCTTTTGTCCCACCCTCCCTATTCCCCAGACCTAGCTCCAAGTGACTACCACTTATACCGGTCTCTGCAGAATTCCATGAATGGAAAGAAATTCCAAAAGAAAGAGGACATAAAAAAACCACTGGGATCAGTTTTTTAACAATAAACTCCAGACATTCTATGAACATGGCATTATGCAGTTAATGGAAAGATGGGAAAAAGTCATCTAAATATATATAAAAATGAATGTATCGCTGTCTGTCTGTTTGACCTTTATGCATTACTAAACCATTCATCCAATCGCCATGAAACTTTGGGAAGTTGTTGCCTACACTACACGAAGGTTTCGGGCATAATACTTCTCTGATACGATAATTTTATATATGTAAAAAAAAAAAAATGTAAATGTTTTTTTGTTTAAAGCCACTATTCTCTGAAATTTCTGTACCGATTACTTTGAAATTGTGACACAGTGTTGCAATCGAATTCAGGAGTATATTTTAACATTTTATTACCATCCGACCTTTTGTTTAAAAATGAAGGCCGAAAAACATGTCATTATAAACTGTAGTGCCAAAACAGCTTTAATGATTTTAAAAAAACTTGGCTAAAGTCTTCCTCTTGAAATTCTCTTAATTTATATGCATAGCATACTTTCCCGAAAACAAACTGAAAAAATGTTACGATGAATTCAAAATTTTATTTGTCAATAACTAGAAAAGTACACAATTTTTGATTAATAAAACCCATATTTATTTGAAGCTTTCTGAATTCCCTACAAAATAAAAAAAATGTCATTGAAATACGTAAGAAGTATCTCCGAAATGAAACAATTTGTAGCGGCAGTAGGAGTAAAGTGGGTTAAAATATTTTTTTAAGGAGAAACATAGTTGAGATTAGTATTTCACATCGTGATTAACCCGTAATAACAATTTTCATTGGAATCCAAAAATAAATTCTTTTTTGTCAAAATTTTCGTCAAAGGTAGAACCTTCGGTTTTATTTCAGAAACCAAAAAAAGTGTGATAACTTCATCATCGGACGATTCGTTGCTAAGTTATAATCTTAAACATTTACTTTCTCTTCAGCACAGGCCATTTCCTTTTTTTTATTATTGATTGATCAAAAACTTTATAATGACTGTAGTAATTGAAATTATCATTTGAAGAAGTGATATGGTTCTCCTTATGTAGGTCAATTCTATTATACACTGTTTATATTAATTTTTTATTTTTCCCCCAATGTATTCTGGAAGTAGTATGATACACCTCAAATATTTGGTTTGCTATTATTTAAAAATCTTGCTACTATTTAAATCTTGAGTAATAATTATCACTGTGTTCCTTTCGAGGGGTCGATGATTTCTTCTGTAATGGCTTTAAAATTCATTTATGGGTGGTTCTTTATTTTAGTAGTGATTTATTTTTCACTATTTCACATATCTGTTGTAAAATTAAAGTGTAAATATGTTGTTTAAGTGTTTTTTTGGTTATTTCATTTCTTTTTGTCTATTTCATATATCTGTATTATAATTAAAGTGTTTTTTTATTTATGTGGGAATTATTACATTTGTTTTTTATAGAGTGATACCAGTGGGTAGTTTCTCAACATGTATTTCATTTCATTACATCCATTTACGAATTTACTAGATGTATTTTTTTTTCTATACAGTTGTAAATATCATAACAAATAATAAATAAAATAAAAAAACATTTGTTCTTGCTTACAATTTCAATAATATGAATATAATACAATAAATATGAATACGAAGATAGGAATTATCAGTGCCTTATCAGTGTTAAGGTTATAAACATTGGCAGATAGCAGACGGTCCCGACCGGCTATGTAAGGAGTACCGAACACATTATAACATTCGGTACATGAGATGATGGTCCTGGAATACTTCATCTTATTTGTTCCCTCTTATTAAATTGTATCAATTATGACTTATCAGTATGCTGAGTGATTTAGCAACTCAACACAGTTAAGCAGCCGTACAGTTTTATTGTGCTTCTCTCATTTTTTTTTTTTTTAATATCAACACTTTATTGCAAAAAGTACACTTACAACAGAGTTTAACTAAAATGTACATATTTATGAATTTCAATCATTATTTTCAATGCAATAATTCAGGAAGTACATCAAAAGAACACTACATGTACTATATATCACTACTATATCTTAAAAATATTTATAATAAATGCATTATACTCTCATTTCACAGAGAAAAAATTCGTTGAATTACTCTCATTCAATTTCCTAAAATATTAATAACAACTAACAGTAATAAACTGATGATATGATAAGAATATATTCCTTATGGTTACTAAATGAGTGAGTTAGTAGAATACATTATAAGTGACGAGTTTATTGAAAGTGGTAACATGATATAAAAAGTTATCAACTTCAATTATCAATTAGGATTTCAGTAGTTTAACAACTTTTTTTTATTTTCACTATATATATAAGATATAGTAAGGGAAAGTATTGCAATCATGAACATTTTTTTTAATTCTTATAACAACGAAGAGTCTCATTAATCTTAAAAAAAGTAATCAGATGTTTTGAAGTTCCACTATCAATTTGATTAACTTAATAAGTAACAATTTTTGAAAAATAAGGAGAAGATTAATTTAAGTAATATTTATCTCATAAATACATTAATAAAAACCAAAAATAAAAACTAAACTATATCTGATAAAAAAAAAAAAACTTCAATAAAACTAAAATGATAATATTTGAATAATCTGTTTCCCATAACAATGAATGTAACCTCCTTATCTTTTATCACTACATCACTGGTATTAATGTGGGTATTGCAAGTTATAAAATAGCACATAACAGATTATAATACTTCGGCTCATTTTTATCAACAATTATGCCTGTACGGTGAAAAACAGTACATGTATAATACAATAAAATTAAAATGTGTGTGTCTCAAATGAATAATTGACTACTGATTACTTTGAATTACTGAGGTGCTTAGAATTTCAAAACGATTAATATTTAAGCAATAAACTTATTTTGATTGATTTTAAAAACAGCACCTAATCTAATATAAATCTGATTTTATCATTTTTTTTTATCCAAAATTTATTTTGATTTGTTTCCAAAAATAAAAATATTACTTTTGCCTTTCATCTCCAATAAATTTTTCTGTTATTAATAGACCTCAGGTCTCATATAAGAGAAAGTTATTTATTGGTGACTAATGACAGATTGTGCCAACTGGAGTTATCAGCAGTAAGCCAAAGAGATTTTTTTAAGGAGATACATTAATGAGAGAGTGCCAAATAATCAATTTAATGTCCTAATCTAAATTACTAAAACCAGTGAATGATTTTTCAAAACCATTTAAGTTTGGAAATACTAAACAACTATCATAAGAATGGATAGTGAAAGTTTATTATAACAGCAACAAATTTAACAAATAAGGATCAGGTAAACTGGAAACCGTTTAAGGGTCAAAGTCTGGTTTTAACAATTCAACTAATAGCCAACGACTAGGTTGGCTACTTAGAATTAAATTAAGTGAGAAATAAACTAAATGTAGATCTAATTAGATATAATACATGAACATTCACTATTCTTTGAAAGTATGAAAATATTTTGAATTAATACGAATACATTTTTTTTTTTTTTAAATTGTAGAATAAACTTATAATGTGCTAAAAATAATAATAAAAAGGAACAAGCTAAATTGAAAAAAAAAAAAAGGATGAAATAAACACAAAGAAATCTTAACTACTTTTTTAAAGCAATAGAAGAGATTTTACAAGAGATGGGATATAATAGACTTTACAAGAGAGGTGAATTAGATTATAAAAATAGTTAAAAAGAACTTGAAAATGATATTAAATTTTCCACACTTAACTCTAAGTATAATTAAAAGACAACAAAGTTAGAACTAATCTAATAGTTTTCAAATATAACATTTGAATAAAAAAATAAATATGTTTTCATTAAAATGAAAACTCTGTTCTATATAACCGAAAATATTATAAGCCTCACTCACAAAACTCAAAAACAAATATCTTAAGTCCAATAAAAACTACTACATAATCCCTTTATAGTGCAACTTTCTCAATCCCTTAAGAGAATTATGAATAATAATCTATATAAAGATACACAAACACTTTCACAAGCATACTATTGATAAAACAATTTATTTATATACATATATATATATATATATATATATATATATATATATATATAAACATTAGTTAATTGGAAAAAGTCACTAAGTACATTTTTGAAGGATCTGTACCATTAAAACTTTTATGACTTTTGACTTTATATACAGGTAAAATAAAAATTAAACACATTGAGTGCACAAAAATGACACATACCCTTCTACATATTGAATATAGTTACAAAAAGTCTAGAATTTTTTAAGAAAAAATTCATCAAAGATCTCAGTGATAACAGGTTATGAAATGTCACTTAATGACTTTTTGCTATAAATTGATGTTAAATATACAAGCACTGAAACCAAGTGTTTTTAGCAACTCAAAAAACTAATTGAGATCAATATCGAAATCAGAGGACTTGATTCTGGCTGTATACCCAAATTAGATGAAAAGACATAATTTTATATCTTAATTTGGCATTACACAACAATTGAAATTCAGAAAATGAACATTATATGTGATCAAGCTACCATTATATAAAATAACATAAACATAGATATATGGAAAAGATTAACTGCAAAATAATTTTTAAAAAACACTCGTAAACCACAAAGAAACTTATTGTAATCAACATTCTAAGTGATCATTTAAATGAAGCACATAAATGATTAAATTTAAAATGCGAATTACTAGTTATATTGAAGTATAAACATATTAAATTTGTCTAAATTTATAACAATGATATCACTATAAAAATGTTAAAATGAACATTCCTTCTAGAAAACTTGATTGTGAAAATGTATATCAAGACATTTTTAGACATTGAAACATTCAATATTTAATAGTGAAGTAATGTCATCAGAATTTGTGAAATAGCTAAATGTAATTTACAAGATAACGTAAGGTTTTAGTTACCTTTAGTTATTCTTAAATGGGCTGCTGAAGCTTTTTTTTGGTTTCCAACTTTAGGTGTTGCCTCACCATCTTTCTTCTGTTGCTTTAAGGAAAACAGTTTTATCATATCGCCCAAACTAAAAAACTTCTAAATTCAACTGAATCTATAAATCTTTAAAATTCACGTTCGGAGATAATTTTATAGATCATAATTCAAAACATTTATATGAATGGAAAGCCTAACACCAGTATGAACAGATTCACTTCTAAAATTTATCTCTATAATAAAAAAAAACTAAAAGAAGTATTCAACTGAACGAAATTCTTGGGATTAATAACTCAAAAAGGCAAATAATAATATATGAATATCAACTCCCCTCCTTACAAACGCACCTTCGGATATATCATATGATCAATTTTAAGTAAATATCGCAAAGAAATATTTTTTTTCGAAAAAGAGCAGAATGTATACAAAAAATAAACAAAGTGAAAGCTTCTGTCTTTTATAAACTTTCTAAAAAATATTTATAATATATAAGTTATATTTATATACCATTTTGAAATAAATTATCTTTTTGGTCTAGAGCTTCTGAAATATAATTATATCATTCATTTTATGCTATTAATTTTTACATTATTCTTCAAAATATAAAATTAAAACGATTAAATAGTTTTAATATAACCTTTTCTAATTGATTAAATACTTCAAATTATTAACAAGCTGTGTTTTCAAATAAATTCTATATAATTATTTTATGAAATTAATTTTTTTGCATTTTTAAAATTAGTTTTTAATAATAATAATAACTTTGGAATATTGGCGGGAATATAAACCCATAGTGACTTTATTATAAAGAAGGTTATAATAGTAGAAGCAACTTTCTTGTTTTTGCTGTTAAGTGAGTTGTGTTCGTCAGTGTGTAGTGTGCCACTGTACAAATTTGTTGTTTTTCCACAGTGGTCAATAGTTTTATTTGTATGAACTTTTTATCTAACTATACTAAGGGATACCATGGCTGGAAGAGGCTCATTCCCTGCCTATTTTGCTCCTGACTACAATCAAATGAAAGATGATTACCACAATCCGGAGTTAAATTCTTATGACACTGGTCCAGGATCGTATTTGCAAAATAATCTGTAAGTATCACTACCGTGATGATATTTTGTCACAGCTACAAAGTTGAAAACTTAACTTCTTTACTTTTAGAATGACAAAACAGTTTTTTAAATAATTAAATTTTGTCCAAGTTACGCTACTTATTCTTTTGAATAGATTCAACAATGTTTAAAACGTACCTTAATTTTCTAAATTTCATCAATGTATAAAAAATCATAATACCTTCATTCATGTTTTTTCTATGACCAAAAGTTTTTTTTTTTCTCTTATGCCAGTCGTTGGTCATTTGGCCATCCGACATCCAAAAGTTTTTTCATCAATGCATTGTCTGGTGAATACCGTACTGGTTTACGAATAGTTCTTTTAGGAAGGGAAGGTGTTAATTGTTCTTGATGAAGACTGTGATCTTCTGCTTGGGAACCCTCTTGTCCGTTGTCTAATATTTCCTCCGGGCTAAGATCCTCTTGTTCATTTAGACCTTCTTTAGAGTTCCGTCCATGGTTTGGTTCATTTCTTTCTATATCCTCGTCATGTCCTTCCAAATTATCTGTATCGCAACTTCTTGGAGAGCCAATGGTATCATCTTTGACTGGCGACTGGCTTCTGGATATGTCCATACCAGGCAAATGTTTTCCTTGGAGATATGGCCATAACTGGTTTAGATGTCTCTTCCACAACAAGTTGTCTTCTCTTTTGATAAGGTAGGTTTGCGGTCCCAGGGTGTCTTGTACGCATCTTTTGGTGTGTTCGTGTGGAAATCCCTTGACCAAACTTGTTCTCCGACATGGAATAATTTCTGACGCTGGCCTCCATTTCTAATCATCTTTTCCTGGTGGGTCTCCACGATTTTTTCCGTCGACAGCAACAAAAGGTCAAACATTGTTCTTGGTTTCTTTTGGAGTAGATTTGCTGGAGATTCCCCAGTTGTCGCATGCTCCGTGTTCCTGTATTGCAATAAATAATCATTCAACGAATGGCACAGATTTTTCTCCTCAGCTAAAGACTTCAAAATACATCTTTTTAGAATTTTGACAGCTGACTCGGCACTACCATTTGATTGGGTGTTGAATGGGGCCCCTAGCAAATGTTGAATCCCATATTTATACAAGAAAGTTGAAAATTCTGAGTCAACAAAGCATTTGGCTCCATCAGATGTTAAGGCTCGAGGTAACCCAAAACGTGCGAATAGTTCTGAGAGCTTAGGCATAGCTGTCTTAGCCGTCTTTGATGACACAAGAAAATCTTCGATCCATTTTGTTGTTGAATCCATGACCACAAAACAAGAAATTTTCTTATTTATAGGTTCCAAAAAATCAGTGTGGATCCGGGTCCAAGGGATTTTAGGCCACGGATATGGCTGTAAAACTGCTTTAGGTGGGGATGGTCGAAAATGGCAGCAGGTCTCACACGAGTTGGCACACTGCTCAATATCTCTATCCAGCTCTGACCACCAAAAATAATTTCGAGCAAAGCTCTTCATTTTGACTGCACCTAGATGATTTGTGTGAAGCAGTTGCAAAATTTTACTCTGAAATTTTTCGGGTATGATAACACGGTAGCCCCACATAACACATCCGTCATCAACGGTCAGCTGGTCAAATCGTTTCCTGTAAGGCTTTAAATTTTCATTTTCCTCAGGAAGTGATCCTCCGTGCACCGAAATCCTAATAACTTGAGAGAGTACTGCATCAGTTTTTGTTTCTTGGCGGATAGTTTGCCAGCTAATTCGAAAAGGCAAGTTTTCATGGATGAAATTTAGATATGAAACTTTGTCATCAGGGTCAGTTAAACTACATTTACCTTCAATTCTTGACAGAAAATCAGCTCGATTTTCTTCAGATTTAATATATTTTATTTTATAATTATAATTTGAAATTAAATATGCCCATCTTTGTAGGCGATTAGCAGCATAAATGGGAATGCCTTTTCGTTCTCCAAAAATGAAAAGTAAAGGCCGTTGATCTGTCTCAAGGGTAAATTCCTTTAGAAATAAAAAATCTTTAAAATGTGTGATATAATAGCCCAAGCTTCTCTTTCAATGGTGGCATACTTTCGTTGGGCATCAGTCAACATTTTAGAAGGATATGCTATCGGGCGTTCATTATTTTTATCAATATGCGAAAGAACTGCTCCCACTGCTTTGGCTGATGCGTCTACTGTCAATTGTAATGGTAAATTTGGATCAAAATGTGCTAAGACTGGTTCAGAAGTTAATATCTTTTTGATTTTTTCAAAAGCTATCTGACAGCTTTTTGTCCATATAAATTTTAAACCTTTTTTTCCTAAACGGTATAAAGGGTATAATATTTCAGAAGCATTAGGAATAAATTTTAGATGAAACGTCACCAGTCCGAGGAACGTTTTGAGAGCAGTAGCATCGTTAGGTGGTGGAGCATCCTTTATGGCTTTTATATGTTTATTTGTGGCATGCAATCCTTTCTCATCGAATTTATGCCCCAGATATTCCATAGAATTGCACCCAAAAGAACATTTACTTAATTTAACTCTCAGGTTGGCTGAGTTAAGAATTTTTAGTACATGATCAAGCCTTTGGTTGTGCTCCTCTCTGGTCCTACCCCTGATGTAAATGTCATCCAGCAAAGATCCCATTCCTTGGAGTCCTCGGAGTAGATTGTCCACAACTTTCTGAAACTCTCCAGGTGCACTAGTGATTCCAAAACACAAACGTGTATACCTAAGCAAGCCAATATGGGGTATTAATTGTAGTCTAAGGTTTTGAGTTATCTACTAAAAGAAGTTGCTGATAAGCGTCTTTCAAATCAATCTTTGAAAAGAATTTAGCTCTGCCAAAATTCGAGCATATATAATCAAGCCTTGGAAGAGGGTATTGGTTGCTCAACAGGACTGGATTTATTGTCAGGCGATAATCCCCGCAAATGCGAATACTTCCATCACTTTTAAGGACTGGCACTATTGGAGTAGCCCACTCGCTACACTCAACTTTTTCTAAAATATCTAGCTCAAGAAGTCGGTTCAATTTATCTTCCACTTTACTCTTCAATAAAATAGGTAATGATCTTGCTTTGAAAAATTTAGGCTCGGCCCCCTCTTTAAGTTGCAAGGTAATTTTATAGTTGGAAAATGTACCTAAAGAAGACTGAAATACCTTAGGGTACAAATTAATAATGTTGGAAATATCACTAGATATGTTCTTAATGTGAGGATCCACAAATAAAATGTGTTCAGCATAAGCAGACTTCAAATTTTTAAACCTTGTCTGCCTATCAGTGGAGGGTCTCCATTTGGAATAACATGGAATTCCAATTCATAAAATTTGGAATCCTTTTCAGCAAATAATTTAATTTTCCCAATGGGGTAGATTTTGTGTCCTACATAATCACATAATTTGACATCATTTTCACAAAGAGGGGCCTTCTTAAAGTTTTCTATATCAAATTTTTCAGCTATAGTGTTGTAAAATGACCCAGTGTCAATTTCAAATGTATAAATTTGCCCAAATATATTTAAGTCCAACATAAAATCATTTTGATGGCAAGTTGGAAAATTAAAGAATGAGTCACATAGGGTGACTTCCTCTTCTGTTGTTTCTTCTGTTAAAAATTTAGTTTTGCACACCGGGGCCAAATGCCCTTTTTTATGACATTTATGGCAACAGTAAGCTTTGTACTTACAGTTTTTAGTAGAGTGATTTTTCCGACCGCATACCTCACATTTCTCCTGCTGCTGTATCTTCTGGTTCGGTTCCTGAGAACGAAATGATTTTCTTGACATATAAAATTAATCAGATGGTTCTACCTTGATTTGCGATGTAGAAGTGGATTTAAGAGAGGCTTCCTTCGCAGCGGCTAGGGTAAGTGCTTTCAAAAAGGTTAAATTTTTATCTGAAGGGTCTTCTTCCATTAACCTTTCCCTTATCTTGGTTTGAGCCAATCCTATAATAAAAATATTATTATAGGATATTATTATTATTATAAGTTATCCCTCATAGCCACTTCTAGTTCAGTGCCAAACTGACAATCTGATGCGTTCTTCCTGATTCTTGCCGAAAATTCAACCACTGTCTCTCCCGAATTCTGTCTTAAAGAGTAGAATTCTTTTCTGGCAGCAAAACAAGATTTTACAGGTTTGAAATGATTAGTAAGAAGTTCAACTAAATCTTTGAAATTTTTGGTAGCTACCTTGGTGGGCAGGCACAGGCTGTGAAGAAGAGAGAGAACTTCGTCATTAAGTGCTGCTAGAAGATAAGCTCAATTTGATAGTAGAGATATCTCCCCAATAAAATTTTTATATATCATTGGTCAAAAATGTGGTTTTTGCACTATTTTTAGTAGAGAACTTATTATTCATACTAGAATTTTTTAAGTATTTTATCATACATAATCTATTTTTTATATGATCATATCATATTGTTCTACAGTGGTAAGAAATGGAGCTCTAAAAGTAATTCTATTGGATTCTCAGGGTTGTGAAAAGTATTTAATGACACCAAACAATTTATTTTTAGAGAACTATACATGTACCTTAAAGTATAGTTTATACCACAATATTAATTATTTCAGTGATACTTATACATTCAGTGTCCTACTTTTTGAATGATTGAGGTTAATACAGTAAAATAATACATAATATACAGGTTAAGCATTAAATTTTTTCCTCTCAACAACAGGAGAGGTAAAGAGTTCGCTAGGCAAACAAATAAAAACATGAGGCAAAACAATTTTTTTTTTTTAAATTAGCCATTATTGACCAAGCAAGAATATCTTGGAAAGTACATGTGCCAGATAGAAAAAAAATGAATATTATCAATCTTGTAAATTTTATCAGATTTAATTTTGTATTGAATGCCCTAATTTTAGCAATGAACCACGAAAAGTGACTTTCCAGGTGTCCCACCACCTTTGGTTCACCTCCTTACTAGGCCAAACAAAACACTAAAATCAAAAATTGGGTTTCTCCCATTTCCCTCTATCATTCATTGGCTGGAACTATAATCCAATGTCTTCAGTTGGTGCAAATACCTTAATTAGATTATTTCCAC